AGGCTCGAGTCAGCAACGCCCAGCGAATATCCAAACTGTTTGGCCTCAACAATGGGCTGCCTATCCTCCGTGGGCCTGGACTCCTCAGAATTGGGCCTCTCCTCCTTGCCCACATCCCACCACACAATGGCAGGCCCGTCCTCCTCCTCCTTCTGGCAGACAAGGAATTCTTGGGCCGAATCCTCCTCAGGCCCACTATGCAGCAAGCCCAGCTCCCCCAACGAGCTATGCATCTACGGATATTGAAGCCGCCATGCACACTCTTGCTCTTAATCATCCGGATGATAATTGGTACATGGATACCGGTGCCACCTCTCATATGACCGCAAACCAAGGTACTCTCTCGTCTTATTTTAATTTGAGCAAAAATGATGACATTATTGTTGGCAATGGTCACACTATTCCAATTCTTGGTTATGGAAATGCCTCACTAATCCAGACAAAACCTCCCCTCACCCTTCATAATGTGTTGCATGCTCCTAAACTTATCAAAAATCTAATCTCTGTTCGAAAGTTTACTAGTGATAACAATGTTTCAGTTGAATTTGATCCTTTCGGGTTTTCTGTGAAGGATTTACAGACGGGGAGCCACCTAATGAGATGTGAGAGCACCGGCAATCTCTATCCATTCACCAAACTTCGAGCCACACCTTTTTCAGATTCACCTTCAGTTTTTACGGCCATCTCTTCCGACCTATGGCATTCACGCTTAGGCCATCCGGGAAAGGCTATTTTAAATTCTCTTCGTAGTAGCAATTTCATCTCATGTAATAAAGCCCGAAGTACTTTTTGCAATTCTTGTCCTCTTGGGAAACTCATTAAGTTGCCTTTCATTAATTCATGTTCTTTTACAACTATGCCTTTTGATATTGTTCACAGTGATTTATGGACCTCACCCGTCTTGAGCTCCTCCGGCCACCGTTACTATGCTTTCTTCCTTGATGATTATAGCAATTTCTTATGGACATTTCCTATCTCGAATAAGTCGCAGGTCCATTCGATCTTCTTAGCTTTTCGAGCGTACATTAAAACCCAATTTGAGAGAGAAATCAAGCAATTTCAATGCGATAATGGCTGTGAGTATGATAATGGTCCCTTTCAAAAATTCTGTGAATTAAATGGCATGCACTTTCGTTTCTCTTGCCCTCATACATCTTCCCAAAATGGAAAAGCGGAACGAAAAATAAAGTCAATTAATAACATCGTCCGCACCTTGCTTGCCCATTCCTCTATGCCACCCTCCTTTTGGCATCATGCACTTGCTATGGCAACTTACCTTCTCAACATTCTTCCCTCAAAGCTACTCAATTACTCTTCTCCTACTCAAATCCTTTATCATAAAACTCCTACCTATTCTCACCTTCGGGTCTTTGGGTGTTTATGTTATCCTTTATTTCCCTCCACCACAATACATAAATTGCAAGCCCGCTCTACACCTTGTGTTTTTTTAGGCTATCCATCGAATCACAGAGGATATAAATGCTATGACTTATCGAATAGGAAAATCATTATTTCCCGGCATGTAATATTTGATGAAACCCAATTTCCTTTTTCGAAAGTTCATACACCCTCATCCACCTCCTATGAATTTCTGGAAAATGGCCTGCATCCTCTTATTCTACATCAATTGCATGCCCCTACCACACCATCTGGCCCAATCTCTCCATCTGGGCCCTCCCAGCCGAGCCCAACCGGTGCTCCCATAACAGCTCCTGATCTCCCATTACCTAATACCATCAGCCCAATTGCCCAGCCTGCTCCTCCAGTCCAGCGAATGGCTACCCGCAGTCAGCACGGTAATACCATCAGCCCAATTGCCCAGCCTGCTCCTCCAGTCCAGCGAATGGCTACCCGCAGTCAGCACGGTATTACGAAACCAAACCGTAAATACCTTAATCTAAGTGCTACCACCCCCCTACCTCCATTTCTCCCATTCCTAAAAATCCAGTGAGTGCAATTAATGACCCAAATTGGAAGTTAGCCATGCAAGATGAAATTGATGCTCTAATTACAAATAAGACGTGGGAACTAGTACCTCGTCCATTGGATGTTAATGTTATTCGCTCTATGTGGATTTTTAGACATAAAAAGAAGTCTGATGGTTCTTTTGAGCGGCATAAAGCCCGTCTTGTAGGTGATGGTAGGTCTCAACAAGCTGGAGTTGACTGTGATGAGACATTTAGCCCGGTTGTCAAACCGGCCACTATTCGGACTGTACTCAGTATTGCTTTGTCCAAGTCTTGGCCCATTCATTAGTTGGATGTTAAAAATGCATTCTTGCATGGGCATCTGAATGAGATAGTTTACATGCATCAACCCATTGGCTTCAAGGATGACACCCGCCCTAATCATGTCTGTTTATTGAAGAAATCACTTTATGGCCTCAAACAAGCCCCACGGGCATGGTATCAACGGTTTGCGGATTATGTGGCCACTATTGGTTTCTCTCACAGTGCATCTGATCACTCTTTGTTTATCTATAAACATGGTCCTAACGTTGCCTACATTTTATTATATGTTGATGACATTATTCTCACAGCTTCTTCAGATGCTCTACGATTGTCCTTAATGTCTTTGCTTAGCTCCGAGTTCGCAATGAAAGACTTGGGACACTTGAGCTATTTCCTTGGTATTGCAGTCACTCGAAATGCACATGGTCTTTTTCTTTCACAAACAAATTATGCAACGGAGATACTTGAAAGAGCAGGCATGTCAAGTTGCAAACCATGTCCTACCCCTGTGGACACAAAAGGGAAACTTAGTACTTCAACCGACACCACTTATGAGGACCCGACTAAGTACTGTCGCCTAGCGGGAGCTTTACAATACCTCACTTTCACTAGGCCCGACATCTCTTATGCAGTTCAACAGGTATGCTTACACATGCATGATCCGAAAGTCGAGCACATGGATGCTCTCAAGCGTATTCTACGCTATGTCCAAGGTACGAAACACTTCGGTTTACATTTGTATAAGTCCTCCCTTGATTCTCTCATCTCTTATACGGATGCTGATTGGGGTGGATGCCCTGATACTCGACGCTCCACCTCGGGTTACTGTGTTTTTCTCGGTGACAATCTGATTTCTTGGTCGTCTAAACGACAACCTACACTATCAAAATCTAGTGCCGAGGCTGAATATCGAGGGGTTGCCAATGTTGTTTCTGAATCTTGTTGGATCCGTAACTTATTACTCGAGCTGCATCTTCCGGTCCACAAGGCAACCCTTGTCTATTGTGACAATGTGAGTGCGATATACCTCTCCGGAAATCCAGTCCAACATCAACGCACTAAGCACATTGAGATGGACATCCACTTTGTTCGTGAAAAAGTGAAACGTGGAGAAGTGCGTGTCCTTCATGTTCCGTCCCGATATCAGATTGCAGACATCTTCACCAAAGGCCTTCCGCGCGTACTATTTGATGATTTTCGGGACAGTCTCAGCGTCCGGCCACCTCCCGCTTCGACTGCGGGGGTGTAATAGAATATATGTAATTATTCTTGTGATATTGTAAATCAGTTATATTTGGTGTATATCGTCTATATTAGGTTAGCCAAATATTCGGTTATGTAAGTCAAAGATTATCCTAGATTATAGCCATAACCGTAGCCTAGATTATAGCATAGTACTGCTGTATATAATGCCCTTTGATCAATGAATACAATCAGGGGATTATCTTCCTTTATTCCAGATTTCTACCAAGGCATTCCTAATCAGGCTAAAATGTTCAAAAACAATAGAGAACTAAAACAAAAAGAATTCGTATCAAAATTAGCTTCTCAAATAAAAAGTAAAAAAAGAAGATTCACATACTTTAAAATAAGAATCAATCAACTTAGGAAAGGGGGATAAAGGATAAAGAAAAAAGTTTCTCTTCAAACAGATTTTATTAAGATATTTTTAATAGTGATGAAGATGACGGAGTCATGGAAAAATAACGAAGGAAGCAAGTTATACAGGAGAGCTCAAAATTAGCATTATCTTTTGTTTTATTTACAAAAATGACGGTGGTACAGGAGAGATTTTTCTGTTATATATGCCAAATCTATAGTGAGAGAGAAAAAATCGGAATTAATTATGATTTGATGCCATCGATACTTAAAAGTTAAGAGGTTGTTTGTGTTTGGTTCGTTTTTAAAAATAAGAAAATAGATAAGATGAGATGAGTTGGAGGTATATTATTGGGTGATGTGACACATACTTAAGGAAATCAATTTCTTGTTTTTTTTTGAGGAAATGGATGGAAAGGAAGGTTTAATGAGATGAGATGAGTTGTCATAATATTATTGGATGATGTGTGTGATTTTTAAAAATGAGATAAGATGAGATGTGATGAGTTGGATGATGTGACATATTTTTTATGTTTGGTTTATTTTTAAAGGTAAGAAAGGAGATGAAATGAGATGAGTTGGATGATAAAAATAATATTTTATTGGATGTTATGGGTGAGTTTTAGGGATGAAAATGGATAAAAATATTATTTTATTGATTTCCTTGTACCGATTTCTTTTTCTTTGATTTTAGGAAAACAACCAAACGGGCCCTAAAATCATACTCCCTTTAAAAGCACGAGTTCAGAAAATCTTTTTTAGACAAATATACCCCTTTATAGTTTGAACTACCTTATCTATAATCAAATTCTAATTTTCAATGTCAATCTTTCCCTTCACTATTTTAAATATTTTATTTATATCTTCATCTATTCTAATCATAATCATATCTTATCCCAATCCTATGTGAACCACGTTTAGCTTAACAATTTAAAAAACTAATATTAATAAAATATATAAAACATAAAAATGATATTAGTTTGTTAAGATAAAGAAATTACAAGTAGATAACATATTATAATACATGAAGTATTGCAAAAAACCCATAAAAAGTTTTAAAATTACAGAAAAGACCCTGAAAAGTTCAAAATTATAAAAATCATCCAAATGTCTCAAAACTTAAAATAAAAAACATGAAATAAAAAAATTAACATCAGTTTGCAAAGAATTTAAAATTTACAGTTAACACCTCAATGTCTCAAAAATTATAGAAACACCCTCAAAAGTTTAAATTACAGACAAGCACATTAAAATTCTAAAATTTTAAAACTTACAAACAACACAGATGAATTCAAGAGATTACCATGATACACCTAAAATTTTTAATATTTAAATTTTAATTTTTTAATTAACACCCTCAATATCTCAAAAATTATAAAAACACCTTCAAAAGTTTAAATTATAAAAAATCACCCTAAAATTCTAAAATTTGTAAATAACATAAGATGAATTCAAGATATTACCCTTAGACACCTAAAAAATTAAAATTTGCCGAAATTAACCTCAAAATTTTTAAAAAACTCCTTCAAAATTTAAAAATTATAAAAAAACTCTAAATTTTCAAAATTTTTAACTAGCACACATCAAATTCGTCGATGAGTAGACCGCTAAAATTTAATATTTTTCAAAATTAATCTATAGTTTTAATAATTACAAAAGACACCCTCAAAATTTTTGAGTTATAAGAAATATACTAACATTTAAAAAATTACCACCAACACATGAAACATAGAATTTACAATACCAAACTTAAAAAACATCCGGTTAATGGATAAAATTTTTAAAAATATTATAGATTAAAAATTATCGGCACTATATAAATTAAATTAATTTCATATAATTTTAGTAATAAGTTGGGGTAGCCAAAATACATTCGTAACATTAATTGATAAATGTTTAAATCCATAGAAATGATAAAACACTATAATATTATACCTTAGCATTATGTGATTTTAATTTAGCAACTTTAATCTTTGACGTTAATAATATTTATAGGGTAAAAGAATACAAGGAATTACATATGGAGAAACTATTAGAATATTTAGGGATAACTTTAAAAGAATTGAGTTATTTCCATTGCAAATGGGAAAGTGATGGAAATAAATCTAAAATTCAGAAAACGTCAATGAATCACTTGAATTGGCATTAACATAAGACATATCTATTAATGAAGCACTGAATGAGTTACATTAAAAAATAATTTAATAACTTTATCCTAATCAAAGAAAAAATCTCCATGGAAGACATAAGAAAAATTAGTAAGTATTCATAAATTCCATACTGTGTTCTTCAAATTAAATATTAATATTATAATCTAAGAGAAATTGGTAATGAATAATGCAGGTATTTAGTTTAGATCTTTATGGAAAATGACAGGGATAGAGCAAAGGTAATATTATTGAAATAACAGAAATTCTTATTGGATGCACATCAGAAGAATTCATTTTAGAGGAAAATAAAGAGATAGCTTCTAATTTATTTAAGTAATAAATTAGGAACACAAAGAATTTTATATATATGAAATTAATATTTATTCTCATTGAAATAGAAAAAAAAATCAAAGTCTATATTTTGAGCAGTTTGTGTTGAACATCATAAGTACATTTGACTTCTTTGTAAAGTTAAATGAGATGATAAAAAATTAACGAGCCTAGGAAAGATAGTAGCATAAAAAATACAAAATTAACCTGATATCACAATTGATGTAGATGATGAAGACAATACTCTAGAATTGCCCGAGAAATGATAAATGATAAACCTGAAGAAGGATTGATCTTAACTCAATAAAAAATAAAATAGAAGAAATAAAAAACAATATTTTCTGAATATTTTATAGAATAGTTTAATTATTTTGAGTGAAATTAGGAATCTTTAGAAAGGAGTTTCATGAATTTTTTTCAGTACTTTTATATTGTTATGTGGATGTTTTTATCATATAAAAGTATACTAGAGTTAGCATTAATCTTTAATTTATATTTTTTTATGAAGTCTATCAATGATTATGAATAAACTTCATATTCTCTTTTGCATCGTTTTAACATACTTTAAATCAATCATTTTGTCATATTGGTTTTAAATATTCACCTTCCTTGTATAATATTATTTTAATATTTTCACTTTGCAATTCTATACTTTCTCAAATAAAGCTTAGTTTCATATCGGTCAAAGAAAATATGAAAATTTAAATTATTTTTAAATTATATTTGTTTTTTGTCAGTTCAAATATCAACATGAAAATTTAAATAAGGTGTATCCCATTTAAACAAACATAAAAAAATAATTGTGATGTAAGAGTTTAAAGAAAAAAATGAACACAAAATGCCAAAAATACTTAATCATTGTATTAAATCACGTGCATTGCACGTATGTAAAAACTAGTAAAAAAAAAGCGTTTTTGCTCCCATTTCGCTTTCAATCCCGCGTCCTCCACGTCAAAATCCAAACTTTTATTATTCCATACGGATCATCAAAGCAACCAAATCTCCACCATCAAGTTTAAAAAATAAAAAAAAATCCATTTTCCGATCAAAATCGTAGAGCCTAGTCTGAAGAGAATGGCGCTGTGCTCGTGCTTCGGCCCGTCGAAGGCGGAGAGAAGAGAAGCGGAGCGGATCGAATCTGAAGAAGCCCGATCCAGAGCCGCCCAGGCCGCCCAAATGAGGTAATTAATTACCCCCTTACAGAACCCCAATCCTTCAATTTCTTTTTCTGGAATTCGTTATATTAGAAAATATTTTGGGTCTTGTTTTGGATGACTTTTCAAAAAAAAAAAAACTTTGGTTGTATACATTTGTAGGCAAGAGCAGTTTGAGAAATCGGCGATCGGGAAGGCGGCAAAAGCGCAGATGGCGGCGGCGGCCAAGCAATCCAGCGCTTCTCCTAAAGGAGAGCCCGTCCTCAAGGTGATTTTTTTATGGTTTGAAATCTCGTTAAGTTGTTAGCTTTGAGCTTGATTTTGATTAGAGACTTTACTGAATGAAGTTTTCTTTCTCTGGGTGCAGTGGCAAATGGGGTAACTGCTTAGACGCTTCGCGAGGTCGTGAATACTTGGGTAAGTCTCATCAATTCCTAGCTTTTTACAGGTGTTTATCCAATTGTGAACTCGGCTAGGGTAAGATTCTGATTAAAACTCGTTAAATCGGCGAAGAGAATACCATTTAAAGTTTAGAGATTGAACCAGTTTGCAAAATCAGCTGCCGCTGCTGAATAATTGTAAAGAGATATAGAGGCTTGAGACATTATCATAGGAATTGCATCCTCGAACGAGGGGAGCTATTGGCCTGTGCCAATCCACATTCTTAGTAGACAATTACATAAGGAAAGGGAATCACATGTTGGAGTCAAGTTTGTAGAATTCAATATTGTTAATTTGTCATCATAAAGCAAGAACCTTTTTTTTAAATAAAATAAAATCTATATTCCTGGCTTTTTATCTTATCTTTCCAATATCTAGTCTCTCTCTTATGCTATTCCTGTGTTGCCAGTTTGATAAATTGCTAGAATTCTATTGGTGTCTTGCTTTAGAGTTTATATGTACTTAAAAATCTCAAGTATGTTCAGAGCTCCAGTTAGAAACTTAACTAGAATCAAAGGGGCTGATCCCTTTTTATCGATTGCTCTGTGGATGGACTGGAGCTTTGGTTAGTATTAGTTGGCTCCTTTCATGGATTTGCTTGTTACTGTTATGATTCTCGGATGCAGTTATTCCGAAATTGAGAGATGGTGCCTCAGATATCTATTCTATTTATCATATTGAAACCCATTGAATTGTAGCTAAAAGATAGGTGAAAAATTAGGCATATAAGAAATTTGGCGTCCTCTTGAAAATAGGCATATAAAAATTTGTCATCATCCTTTCTGTTGTATCTCATTTCGAGTCGAAACCGGGTCATAACTCCTGGGACTTCCTACATTGACTTGCTTAAGTTGGCTTGTGTAACTTACAGGTAGTATTGATTAAGTTCCTGCAATTATGCTGTAGTCCTCAAAAGTGCCCAGAATATGCAGAGGAAAATGTGTTCTAGCCTTCTACGTTCAACTTCACGTGAAGAAATACACCCTAAAGAGGGAAAAGATGATAAATTTTGTCGTGTTTGCGAGTCATCCCTTAATACAAAATAAAGCAAACCGATAAAGATGAGTAACTGACAATTAAACATAATGTAAGAAGTTTCTCATGTGATTTTGATTAGAGACTTTACTGAATGAAGTTTTCTTCGCTGGGTGCAGTGGCAAATGGGGTAATTGCTTGGACAAATTCCTAGCTTTTGACAAATGTTTGTACAATTGTGAATTTGGCTAGGATTGTATACTGATTAAAACTCATTCAATCGGCAAAAAGAATACCGTTTAAAGTTTAGAGCTTGAACCAGTTTGCAAAATCAGCTGCCACTGCTGAATTATTGGAAATAGATATAGTGGCTTGAGACATTCTAGTTGGAATCAACACCCTTGACCACTATTGCCTGCGCCAATCCATGTTCTTGGTAGAAAGTTACATAAATAAGACGACAAATCATATGTAGGAGTCGAGCATGTAGAGTTTAAGATTATTAGTTACCATAAAGCAAGAAACTTTTATCTAAAATCTATATTCCTTGCTTTTGCCTTATTTTACCGATATCTGGCCTCTCTCCGTATGATATTGGTCAACTGGTATTTTGTTGTCTTGCTTTAAAAAATTATTATTTCAGCAAGATCTCAAGTATGTTTAAAGGTTAGTACGAAAGTCAACCAGAATCGAAGAGATTATCACTTTATGGATTGATCTTTTTGATGGACTGGCAAACATTTACTAGTAATACTTGGCTTCTGTTGATGGATTTACTCGGTACTGTTGGCAATTCTAGGAGCATGATTATTCTGTAGTTGAGAGATGGTGCCTAAGATATCTATTCTGCTTAGCATCTTGAAACTCATTAAAATAAATGTAATCAAAAGATAGGTTTAGGCGTAGAAATAATTTGCCATCCTCTTCTTTTCTGGTCTCTCTTTTAGAATGAGTACCAGTTTATAACTCCTAGTTCCTATATTGACATGCTTAAGTTTCCTTGCCTAACTTACTGGTAATATGGATTATTCCTGCAATCGAGTTGCAATACTCCCCAATTCGTGAGTCTAAGAAAAGAGTGAGGGTTAAAATATCATATGCCATGCAAACATGTTGTGGGTCCAACTTCAAGTGGCAAAGTACATCCTAAAAGACATGATAATTTTTTGTAGTAATTGTATTCTTCCCTTCCTCATGATAAGGGAAACAGATGAAAAGACATTACTGACAGTAAACATAGTTACAAGATGTTTTCTGGTGATTTACAGGATACTAGTGTGACAAGTTTAGGAATTAATTGCAATGTCTTTCTTAACTTTTTTCCTTCCTAGCTATCCATGCACAAAAATATTTATGTTTGAGGGCGTATACGCGAGCTTGCATGTAAATTATAGATCCAGAAATAGAGCTTGAGTATAGTCAAGATAGAATTGAATGATTGCTCCATTTTAACGTGTTTTTCTGCACCTCAATCATGTTTGAGTGGTGGGATCAATGACAAGCTTATACTGTGAACTTAACAGCTTCTTCACTCTAAAGCTCATTGTACCATCTTGCCTTCATATTCTCAGGTTCGGTGGTGATGCAGTTGGTCATAATGGGGTATGCTTTTCTACCTTAACAAATAACGACATCTTCGGGCAAAATGCTTTGACAATAGCATGTAATATCTTGTATCTTTGTGAATAACCCCCAGGTTTTCATTTGGTGTTTGCTTTTCTCATGTCGTTGCAATGAGAATTTGTGCATAAAAGTCACATTCTTGGTTGACCCAAGAATTCTGTAAATACCCAATAATCGTGGAAATGATATTTATGTTTCTATCAGTTACTTCCATGCGTCTCTGGGGAAATCTCTCCTGAAGGATGCTGTACGCTTGTTTTATTGTCGTGAAAAGCTTGATCAGTACCTCTATCAAGTCTCCTAGTGGTTTAAGGTCTCATTCTCTAATTCATTACGATCGTCACAGGTCCTTATAATTGTTTTGTTTGTTTTCATGGAAATTAACTTGACAACTGGATTTATGTTTTGATTGGTTTAGTAGAGCCTCACAAAACAAGTATTATGATGTTCTCAAAAATTTACATGAGCAGCTGCAATTGGATCAATCGGTGGTTGTTCAAGGTGACTCATATCTTTATCTATTGAAGAGATGTTTATGTAATCATGGTGACTCATATCTGTTGTACCTTTCATGTCAGGGAAACTGAAAATCCATCCACATTATACTTGTGGATTACTTTAAGGGGCTGTTTGGTTGGTTAAAAAAAAAGAAAATCTATTATTATAGGAAACCTATTTCCTATATAGGCTTTTTTCTTTTGTTTGGTTCACCTCCTAAAAGTAAGAAAAAAGAAGAGATGGAATGAGTTGTCATCATTTTATTGAAGAATGTAACACAATTTTAAGGAAACTCATTTCATGACTTTTTTTGAGGAAATTGATGGAAGACAAGTTTTAGTGATATCCTTATCTTTTTTTTTTTTTTTTTTGATTCTAGGAAATCAAATATCCTTTTTTTTTTTTTTTTTTTTTTTGATTCTAGGAAATCAACCAAACGGCGCCTAAAATAAAATAAATAATAAAAAATAAAAAATAAAAGAGAAAATTTGTGGATTGCCGCTGTAATCTTTGGTACTGGACTACTTAAAAATAATTCCTTATGTTTTCGATTATGTCCCCCTAGTTTTTCAAAGATGGTAGTTTCCTCCAGATATACAAGTTTACTAATTGATGACCAATGTTAAAACAAGGTTTTTAATGGTGATAGAGTACAGATAATATATTTATGGGTTAATTGCACTAGATCCCATGTATGGATGTTTTTGGACTTAATCCATATAGTTTTATTGTTGCAGAGAAAACCCCTAAGTTTAATGTTTTTGATATTTTTACCCTCAGATGGACTGACTAATTTCATCCTAGTATTATTTGCCAAATTTTCCTTGAGGATAGAAGAGTCAAAAAAAATTTAACCCATAGGGTCTATCTACAACATTGGAACTACAATGGTAGTAAATGCAAAACATCAATATTACAGGAGCTCTATGTGCTAAACAACCCTATGTTTATTAGGATACTAGATTTTGTGCACGTGCAATGCATCTTCGGCTCTACTTTGATAGTTTTTGCTCACTTATATCTCTAAACTTTAGCTTTGTGGTTATTTATTTTATTTGATGTTTGTTTGAATGGAATACACCGAATTTAAATTTTTATATTATTTGGACTAACATGAAACCAAGCTTGACTTAAGAAAGTATAGTGTTGCGATAGTAAAAAAGGAAGACGAATAATTAAAGCCAATAAGCCAAGATGATTGGTTAAAGATGAGCTAGAACGACTAAAGAGAATATAAAGTCTAATCTTAATCAATAATAAACTTCATAAAAATTAAAGATGAATGCTAACTTTAATACACTTTTATATGATAAAAACATCCACATAAACATATAAATGTACTAAAAAAGTTCATAAAAATCTTTTCTAAAGATTCCTAATTTTACTCAAAAATTAAATTATTCCATAAAATATTCAATAAATAGATATTTTATTGCTTTGATTTTATTTTATTTTTATTGAATTGATATCAATCCTTCTCCACGTTTATATTTTTCCTAAGAAATTTTAAAGTAATGTTTTCATTGCCTATATTGATTGTGACATCATGCTAGAGCTGGATATCTTGTGTTGTTATTTTTCTCTGTGCTCGTTCATCTTGTGTCTTCTTGTCTTACTTCACAAAAAAATTGAATATATTTTCGATGTTCAACACAAACTTCTAGGAACTTTGATTATTTTTATGTTTCAATGAGAATAAATGTTAGTTTTATATATATGAAGTTTTTATGTTCTTTATTTGTTACTTAAATAAGGTTAGGAGTTACCTCCTTTTTCTCTGTAATAAATTCTTTTATTGTGCCTCCAATAAGAGTTTCGGCTGCATCAAATGATGTTATATTTTCTCTATTCATGTTATTTTCCACAAGGATCTGAACGAAATAATTACATTTTTTATTGTTAATTTAACTTAGATTATAACATTAATATTTGACTTTGATATGTTTATTTCATGAAGAATGAATATTACTTAACACTGGTACTATATTGTTGGTGATTTTGTGATGTTTATCATTTGGACACTCTTATTAACATCTCTATCCACCTTCTTGTTGTAGCATTTGCAAGCATAGAATCATGGCTCAACTCTATTGTAAATATATTTGCATTATAGGTGCAATAGCATGTCCGTATATTGGTAAACTATTTTTAGATTTAACTGTGTGAATTTTAGAGTAGGTCTTGTAAGATCATACCTCTTTTTGAATGTTGTAATGATTGCATATATCAGTAATTTGAACTTGTGTTGCATTTATAAAGGGCCTTGATGAAGATGTTTTTATCTTGCCAGCTTGTTCTGAATGAGCCATGCATATTAGCTTTAAAATGTAATATTTTTCTTTATCATGCTATGGACATCGCTTGGTTTACTTATTATTCTCTCATTTCTTCAGTAAGTTGTATCTTTTAGGTTGATATGTATTGTTAACGCAATTTATGATAACATGCATATCTCCCCCAATAAATTTAAGATAGATATAAGGTAAATTTTATGTTTAGTGATCTTTAATAAGAATTTTAGTAATAAAATATGTTACCTTCATATTTAAAAATCTTGATATCTAATAGTGCTATTGCATGCTTGTCTTTGGTTATGTCTTCGAGAATTAATCATGGTAGTGATATCCCCAAATAAAGTTACACGCAAAGTCATGCCACTATATAGGAAAAAGAAAATGTTGATTTTAATTTTTTTACTTATAAATAAGTATCATGTGTATATATTTTTTCCATTATAGTGATTTTCCTCCTCTTATTTGGCTTGTTATTGTTAGTGTAGAAGAAAACTTTTACTTTAATAGATAAAACCCTAATCAATCCCAAGATTGTTTATGTCAAACTATTGAGATAATTAAGAAGATGCGGAACCATACTTGAATCCATGGAGTAGGATGTGATTCTTGAGTTTTTGAGATGGAAAATTAGAAAGAGATTCTACATAGATATTTGGATAACCACAACCTACTTATAACTGAATCAGTTATTCATAATTATCAATTCAGTCCATCATAGAATTAACAATTATATTTTGGTCTCTCCACATAAGAGGCTCATATTTCTAATTATGCATTAAAAGCTCAAACCCTAAATTAGGTCACTTTAACGGTCTAACCTTGATTGATAGCTCATAATACATATCTATTTAATAAATTGGTTCATATATTGGATTCAAATTCAACAATCTCTCACTTGGGTCATATATGTTACTACATAAATATGAATTATGATATAACCTTATGAGCTCATGAATTTTACTATCAATCAATATGCATCCTTATCAATATCGTCTATTAGGTATATTAACATAGGATCAAAGTGATCTTCATTGCATTTATCACAACTAGACCCATCAATGGTCATGTATATCAATACAATCAATAACACAGATCAAGTATGGATGTGTAGCATAGAAATTTCATGTAGTGTGATCTTAACATGCCTATTTCCAACTGGTCCATCTTAAAATCTTAGTGAGATCGAACCATCCCAAAAAACAGAGTGAATATGAACTGAATACTTTATACTGCAGTAAATAACCATATAATATCCATAAAATCATAACAAATGTGTCAACAAATAAAAGCATCTAAAATACAAACTCTCACTAAAATGACATATCCTGAAGAGATAAAATACTCATATGAGCAGTGTGCTCATGAAAGACATTAGGTGGTAATCCCTTAGTCAGTGGATCCGCAATCATGGAGTTTGTCTCAAAGTGCTTTGTAGACAGAAGTCCACTCTGAACTCTTTCTTTAAAAACTAAGAACTTAATGTCTATATGCTTCGACTTCGTCGAGCTCCTGTGATTATTGGAATACAACACCGCTGACTTATCGTCACAAAATAATTTAAGTGGCCTTTCAATGTCATCCACAATTTGCAGCCCAGTGATTAAATTATGCAGCCATGTTTCATGATTAGAAGCCTCATAACATACTACAAACTCAGCGGCTATGGTGGATAAAATTATGAGTGTCTGCTTAGCACTCTTCCAAGAGATAGCTCCTCTAGCAAGCAAGTAGATATAGCCTGAAGTAGATTTCACAACAATCTTTTCATCGATGTCCTGGAAGCCTTGGGGGTCATATCACCCAAAACTTGGAAAGAGTTAAAACTGCACGGTGAACAGGCCAAACGTTTTCTCAAAAGAAAGAAAGCCGAAAGAGACCAACCGACGACTAAAACACCTGCAACTACTGTCGACATTCATCAACAACAACCTTGGAGGCAACAAGAGACTCTTAATCCGAAGTTCCAGGAGGGGTATTCTTTCGAATATGATGAAGTTGCAGCCATCTTCAAGTACCTCATCGCCAACAACAAAATCAAGCTACCACCGATTACAAATCAGGAGGAAGCAAACAAGATTTTAGATCCGAAGTACTGTGCATATCACAGGAGGGTTCATCACCCCACCAATGCTTGTATTACTCTAAAAAATAGCATTCAAGCCTTGGTTGATGTCGGTATCATGACGGCAAAATAATCCAAATGAGAACAAAATCCTCCAACAGGTATATAAGGTTAAACTGCTCTCATACTCCAACGGGTATACGAGTATAAACTGTTTCCCCAACCTCCAACGGGTATATGAGGATAAACTACTTTCTTTATTTCTAACGTGAAGTTCCTGAAGAATATTACACATAATATTCTTAAGGATAACCCAATATCGAAGGATTGTCCAAGTCTACGCCTAACACACGTTGTCGGGTAGCATATTCCCTTAACAATGGTAAAGTCTATGTATTCAATATCAT